GAAAAATAAATTCCAGATTTTATACGATATTCAGGAGGAAAACAGACGTCCTTTGAATAAATCAACCCATGAGATGATCGATCAATGAAATATCAAAATGAGCTCAGCGGATAGATTATTAGTTGATGGATACAATGCAATTGAGGCGGACATTTTTTTCCCCCGGACAACGGATGACAATTTCAGCGAGAACTCGACCACTGATTCTCCGGCGACCACCTCGTTCCCTTCTTCAGGTGAGATATTCATGCTATCATCCCCTCACATAAACAACCTTGAAATAATTCTAATAATCTGCTACTTTAAAGTTTCTCACCTAAATTTTCGTTCCAGGAATCAGAAATAATTTTAGTTCGTATTTTTCAGTCAGTGAATATTTTCTTTAAAATTAAATGATTTCATTAATGCCCCTAATATATTACTTTATTATGGGATAAGGCGAAATCAAGTATATGAATCTACTGAAAGTTTACGACTACAATACATTCAATATTTGAGAAAATGAAAATATTTAATCATAAATGACTGACAGCTCCGTCGCAAGAAAGTAAGGATATTGGATGATAGTCTTCATAAACCACAACAGGACTTCTTAGCTCGTACCACAATGGTACGTGCTATAAAGAAGAGTGAAGCTGCACTGAGAAGTTGGATCAGGATCATCATACTGTAGATGGATCATATATAGAGATAGGGTCATCCTACAGACAGACCCTATATACAAAGAAAGGGTTATCGTACTCCGACCTTAAAAATGACGGGTCATCTTATGCAGACCTTACATATAGACAGAGTAATCTTGACAGGCCCTACACACAGACAGACTAATCTAAGACAGACCATATACAAAGACACTGCAGAGTCATGCTAGACATATCCTACACAAAAATAGAGCCATCTTATATCCTTGTAATCAGGGTCTGTGACTGATCTTTATCGAAGAAGGGTCTTTAGACTCTTCGAGTGGTCTTTAGACTCTATCGAATATACTTGCACTCGAAGAAGGGAGCTAATCAGGAAGACTGAAAATGGCCTGATTAAAAAATTTACGCAACTTCATGACCCATTTGCGTTTCCGTAGGACATTCTGATCCAGCCGGGACTCGCAAAAAGCCAAGTGGACCAAAAAAATGTGTTAATTTTCAAACGAGACGTTGGCTCACATAAATAAGTAATCCTGATAATTTTACTGAGCTTGAGTTGCAATGATTTCAGAAATACAGGACACCGGATAAACACAAAGGCAGCTTCAGACATGCTTCGGATCACATATATTTTCGGGAACTTTATCTAATAGTTTTATAAAACACGTACTTAGGAAACTATTGCCGTTTCTAGTTACATGAGGCATATTGTATTGAATTTTTGATGTTATATCCAAGTGGAAATTTTCATCTTTGTTTTACTAAATTTTCTCTTTCCCAAAAATGTTCTGCAATCGTTATAATTTTCTTGTGGTCAATTGGATGCGCAAATGAAGAAAACAGAATCTTCGGATGCACGCTGTTGTTAGTATAGTTATCTTGGTGAAACATAGTTTGAAGGAACTTGATTTTAATTGTTTTCCTCTATCCATACAGAACCTAACGTCGGCTTGATCGTTGGCCTGAGCGTCACGGTCGCATGCCTTATCGCATGCCTTGGCTTGCTCATTCACTTCCGATCGAAATGGCTGAAGTTTTGCAAACCTTGCGGCTGCTCTTGCAGTTGTTTTTGTTCTGGTTCCCGAAAAGCAGAAACTTCAAATCAAGAATTTGTAGAAAGCCAGGTTCACTCATCCCCTTATCCTCCGAATTCACATCAGCCAGTACCCACGGTCTCCGCAACTGTCGACCATTTGCTTGACTCGCCCGTACCTGCTCCTAGAACAAACCCTCAAATTACTAGGCCGAAAACGGAGACAAACTTTATGTTCTTTTCCTCCGGTATCAACTCTAATTTGTCATCAGAATCCCACAATTCCAATATATATAAATCCTCACCACCAAATTCTTTTACGAACAACTACAAACTAGAACCGTATGCTCCCCCTTCGACCAACTCAGGAGTGTTGTTAGCTCCTCCCATTCCACCAAAATCGATAAATAGGGCAGACAGAGCAACCCCTTTCACCGCCGGTGTCACGATCTCTCAGGAAATATTCATGAGTCTCGTGACGCCTGATTCGGATCGAGATACTGAACTTCATCGGAACGAAGCAACTGCTCCTCGTGGATTGCCTTTACCAAAATACCCGTTGGGATCTCCGTTGACTTCCATGAATGCAGAGGTAACTTATATAACTGAAGTACTTCAGGCTTTAATAGATACAATTTGCTAAAAATATTTTCCCGAAGCTCGGTTCCCACTTTCGGTTTCCGTATCAGGATGCCAGCAATGATGTTGTTTTGAAAACAGCCTCTTTCGTTTGCGTTATTACATTCACGATGCGTTTTCACGATCTGTAGGCCAAAAAGTAAAATAACTTATTCAAGTAGATTGGCTCTGTGAAATATCAAATTGAATATGGAAAGTGTAGAAATAAAAGTATTTATTATAATCATAGCATAACTCAAGAAAAAGAACGATATTGAAGTATCTTCCAACATTCACTTCATCACGGCCTAATTTTGTGTTGATAACTGTATAGGACATATTTCTCTCATTTGTGGCATATCACTATAATCACCAGGAATTGCTAGCCTGTAGTAATGATTTTAGCTCATATAAACATCCAACGATCACCGATGTTGTGTGAGTTGTACCAAGTATATTGCATATATTGATTATAAAATTTATAAGTATGACCGTTTATCGTCGTAACTATTATAAGTACGTATAATTGCTCAACAACCACGATTGCTGCAGATTCTTGCTGAGTTTAATAGGTTGCACTTCAAAGAAAAGCCCACAACGGTTGCCCTACTCCCCGAAAATCACTTCAAAAATCGTTACAGTGACACCATTCCATGTGAGTATATTCAATCTATAATAAATACTTCTATCAATAGTATGGATTTTGACATTTTCAATTGGTCAAATGAACATTTTGACATTTTCAACATTGACATTTTCAATTGGTCAAATGAACATTTTGACATTTTCAACATTGACATTTTCAATTGGTCAAATGAATATGTTTCACAAACTTCACTTATTTCATTTCTGAATTTAGTTCCTTCGAGATAAATTTTTTCTTGATGTATGTCTTATTTTCCACTTAAAAATGATAAATATATAAAATATTACACAATTTCAACTTTCGACATAAACATCAAAGGTGAAAAATTTATACCTGATTTATGAATTTAATAATTAATTTAATTTTCGGCTGAAATGCAATACTGACCGATCATTTCCACATTCCTAATTTAATTATGGTGATTTTTTAATTGTTTCTGCGTTAACGTTGTACTTATTTTTTACTTGTATTCAATCATGATTGATGATTTATTTATCTCCACGCATATCTCTCTTGCTGTAAATAAATCAATAAGGTTTGAAGTAATTATCTTAACTGGAAAAATGTTGCTCGATTAAAAATGTGTCATGAAACGATATATGAGATAGCATGTATTTTATTTCGATTTTAATAAAACCAATTCACTCTAATACCAGAAGACCTAGTTGAATGTATTGATAAAAACGATGTTGACAGATATACTATTTAATTTTGATAATGTAGGTAAAACAGTTAAATTTGGATCACTTGATGAGAAAAAAACTCAAACGATAATAAAAATCAATTGTATATGTTCCTATGCGCCTGTAACTAAAGATCTAAAAACTGACTTAGTTAACATCATCAATCGCATGAATCTCATCCAATATCTGCTCATATTATCTCTATATTTGTTCCTGATTTTAACATCTCCCATGTTTTGCAGATGACGAGAACCGCGTGATTGTTTCCACGGGGCAATATATAAACGCATCGCATATTGTATGTTGAGATATTTTACTTTGTACTTTACTTTTTTACTTTACTTACTTTAGAAGCGGATATCCATCGTGGCCTGGGACTGTAATGTCCCAAACAAATATCAAGATTACCAAGATTTGTAATTAGAAGTTGATTGATTTTATATCAAAGATAGAAACATTCCTAATTTGAATTGCGTTATGGATAATTAATGACAACGCGTTAAAAAGGATAAGAATGACAGTCGATTTATTCCTCTATCAAAGGCATCAAAATTAAGAGTTGTAACATAAATGTATTTATTACTCGAGCATTTGGCAGCCCATTCAAGGGTAGCTTGATAATCATTTCGATTAATGGCCAAAACCATTATAATTCCACACTTATTAGTTAATTTCTTTTTAAACATGCAAAATATTTACAAATTTTACTTTTTCAGATTTTGAAAATATCATTTGGTTAAAAGCTTTCGAATATTTTAGCCGGCCATCTCTTTCGGAAAAAGTCAACATCGGCAAGCTTAGCCAGAAAAAGGCCTTCAGGCAATCCCTGCTAGATTATAAGAAAAAGGCCCATCTATTCAACAATGAAATGGCCTTTCTGGTAATACCTGCTAGATTATAAGAAAAAGGCCCATCTATTCAACAGTGAAATGGCCTTTCTGGTAATCCCTGCTAGATTATAAGAAAAAGGCCCATCTATTCAATAAGGAAAAGGCCCATCTGGTAATCCCTAATTCGTAATTCCTAATTTTCTTTTAACTTAATTTTTAATTTTTTAATTTTAATTCCTAACTTTTTAACTAGATTATAAGAAAAAGGCCCATCTATTCAATAAGTAAAAGGCCCCTCTGCAGGTAATCCCTTCTAGATTATAAGAAAAAGGCCCATCTGGCAAACCCTGCTAGATTAGCATTATAACATAACAGCGTTATATAACATAATATAACATAACAGCGTTATTGCAGGACCATAACTTCATCGTCGCACAAGACCCTATTCAGGCCTCGGGAGATGTCGATCTTTTCTGGACGATGATTTGGGAGAAGAACATCCACATCATCGTCAGGCTGTCCTCAGACGATTTTGTCAGTTTCGACTTTATCTAAAAATTTTACATTTGGAGTATTAAGTGGAAGTATTCTATTTATTTTAATTCCATTATAATACTTTACCGTAGGTACGTACGATGCGTAATATTGATCTTATTAGTAAAAAAATAAGCATGAAATAATATTAGGAGAAAACAATCGCTGCCATACCGTTTGACCGGACAGAATTCAATAGTTACAACTAATGAATGAATTTACGGTATGAAAGAATTCAGTTACCAAACACACAACTACCCTTCAAAAATTTACATAATTCCTAAAATGATGGAACATTATACATGGAATATATTATTCGAATAAAAACATTGGCTGCTTACATAGTAATTCATTGACATTGATATATCTTTTTCTTGGGCAAAGAGCACATTTGTATGGTAATAATGCTGCGTATGATTAATCAGTTCTGATATTATTTGTAATTCTACTAAATTTAGAAAAAAAACTATAAATTTCTTTATTTATTTTAATTCCTCCTATTCAAATTAGTTTTAAAAGTTTTGCAATTCTATTATTCTGAAACTTGCTAAAATTATGTTAAATTATTATTAAATTTATTCAATATAATGCGTATAATTAATCATTCCTGACATTATTATTAATTCTACTAAATTAAAAACAAATTATAAATTTATTTCCATTTTTTTAATTCCGCTTATTCTAATTAGTTTTTAAAGGTTTTGAAATTCTATTATTCAAATTAATTTTTAACATTATTTTAAATTATTATTAACTTAATTTCAATATCTGTGCATTTTGCAGAGCCTTGCGTACATGCCGCTGGACAAGCGCTGGGTGCTGGAGAACTGCTTACAAGTCAGTCCCCTGCTCGGTCCCACCGACGAGCCTCAGAGCTACACCCACCGTGTCGTCAAACTCGCCACCACTCGGGTATGATCTTCAGTGTGGGCTGGGAGTGGTAATGTGTAGATTATAGATGTATAGAATACTGTTGATAATTGTGATAATAGTTAGTATAGATTACTGTTGATAGTTGTTAGGGATTACAATAGGGTTCGTTAAATTTGTCATTTCCGTTTTGATTCACCACCGATGAGTTCGCGAATGAATGTTTACTTATTTGTCATTGCTATGTGATCCACCACAGAGGTTAGTACAGTCGGTTTAGAATACTGTTGATAATTGTGGCAATAGTTGGTATAGAATACTGTTGATAGTGATACAGTTGGTTTAGAATACTGTTGATAATTGTGATAATAGTTAGTATAGAATACTGTTGATAATTGTGATAATGGTTATTATAGAATACTGTTGATAGTGATACAGTCGGTTTAGAATACTGTTGATAATTGTGTTAATAGTTAGTATAGAATACTGTTGATAAGTGTGATAATAGTTAGTATAGGATACTGTTGTTAATTGTGATAATAGTTGGTATAGTATACTGTTGATAATTGTGATAATAGTGAGTATAGAATACTGTTGATAATTGTGATAATAGTTAGTATATAATCAAGTTTAAACTTGCGATGATAGTCAGTATAGAAAACTTTTACTAATAGTGAGGAAAATGGAATATTGTTAATAATTATAATTCATAATAGAGCTTCCTGCAAATTATCCATTAGAATTACCCTGCTTAGAAGCATTCTAAGGTTTAAAGTATTGTCCAGCGTTATTTTAAATGAAATAATATTAATTATTTATGATTTTACCTACAAACTGGGTGAAAAGGGCATTAAAGAGCGCGAGGTGCTGCACCTGTCTCTTATACACATCTAGATGTGTATAAGAGACAGATTAGAAGTTGATTGATTTTATATCAAAGATGGAAACATTCTTAATTTGAATTGCGTTATTGATAATTAATAACAACAGTCGATAATGACAGTCGATATATTACTCTNATTGGTGATGGCTTTTGCCCAACGGAGCCTCGTGACAAAGCTCATCCAACATTGATTCATCACTGGTAAACACCAGGTCTAGAATATTGGGAGTCTGTTTACTTCTATAATGGGTTGGTTTGGTAACGTGCTGGACTAGGAAGGAGTCTCTTACTGACTCCATGAACAGTCTTGGTGCACTTCTGTTATTATTTATTAATATTGTTATTGTTATTAGTATATAAATATAATATTGTTATTGGTATAATTTCAAATTAGATGTTTAATATGAGTATTTTATGTTTTTACATTGATTTGGGCTCAATCCATCACTCCGGCAACATGACACAAGCCTCTTGGCACAATTTTTATGACTATAAATTTTCATTAACCCCAAAGGGTTTCCTTAAGTGACGAGGAATGATTTGTGGTCAGCTTACTGAGTTTGAGACTTAGACTTGTCTAAAAGATTAAAGCTCGGAGTTGATTGGCTTGTTTAACCTTAATGGCAAAATCACTAGCCTGAGGTTCTTATCTCCGCAACATTGGCTATGGTCAAGGGTTACTCCAAGCCTTATTATGAGCGACAGTTTAAACCTTTATATGTATATGAATTGGCTTGGGAATTCCCTTCTACTTCATAATGAATAACAAGAAGTCTGTGTATTTTATTTATTATGTTTTTGTCCACCTCGAACTACCAATGAGATATTCGATCATAGACAGACTGGGGTTTTGAATTAGCTGTATGTTTCTGTGCACATTGACCGTTTTCTGTGCATTTAGAGACGTGGCAACTAGACTTAACGCTAATATGGATACGTTAAGACACATTAGTGCTATTCGTTTACGAAGCAACGCTAAAAAGATCGACTACCGACACTAGACAAAGTCTGTTAGTTTATCAACTTTCAGAGCTGTATTTAAACTATTACTTCTCCCAGAGCGGGATCGTCCCGATCCGGTACTATGGTTGCCGTGTGGAAGTGCATGGACGCCATCGACTCGTTCCTCATCCCCGACGTGTTCAGCATCGTGCAAAAAATACGTGATCAACGCGCCCAGGCCGTCAACAAGCCGGTACGCTAGTAAACTGGTACAAGGTACGCTAGTAAACTGGTACAAGGTACGCTAGTAAACTGGTACAAGATACGCTAGTAAACTGGTACAAGGTACGCTAGTAAACCGGTACAAGGTACGCTAGTAAACCGGTGCAAGGTACGCTAGTAAACTGGTACAAGATACGCTAGCAAACTGGTACAAGGTACGCTAGTAAACTGGTACAAGGTACGCTAGTAAACTGGTACAAGNCTGTCTCTTATACACATCTAGATGTGTATAAGAGACAGAGGTACGCTAGTAAACTGGTATAATGTACGCTGAAAAACCGGTACAAGGTACGCTGATAAACCGGTACAAGGTACGCTAGTAAACCGGTACAATGTACGCTGATAAATCGGTACAAGGTACGCTGATAAACCGGTACAAGGTACGCTAGTAAACCGGTACAGGGTACGATAATAAACCGGTACAAGGTACGCTAATAAACCGGTACAAGGGACGCTGATAAACCGGTACAAGGTACGCTGATAAGCCGGTAAACCTTCAACAAACTGGAACGCTGATGAACCGGTACGCTGATAAACTGGTGCGCTGATAAACCGGTACGCTGATAAACCGGTAAATCGTCAACAAACCGTTACGCCGATAAAAATAGATCCTTGACATGGAGTTGTAAATTTCCAGATTCTTCCTGCCGGACGTCGAGAATAATTCTCGTTTACGATGTGAATGCGAATAAAAATTCCTCCCATTCGGATGCATGAAAATTTTGTTGGGCTATTCCTGTTTGATTCACTGGTAAAGTTGAGGTAAACTCTGTTTCTTGCCAGGATAATACATTTTAATGTGGAGTGTGAATGTGTTCATTCATCCATTGGGTAATTGGGCCTTTTCTTGCTTGGCCATAAGAATTTTTTAATCATTTAGTTTCGATAAACTTATGGTTAATTATTAGGTTCTTATTATATTTTATGAACCAATTATTCATCTTTTTTAGTTTTTAATTTTGATCTTGTGTTATCCAGGAGCTGTATGAATACATCTACGAATGCGCTGCCCTGTACAAGAAAGAGAGAGAGTCACTCAACGCGAGTAAGGAAGCTATGTACAGTTTGAAGGGTAGATAAATAAGCTCATATCAAGTTATTTTGAAAGTATGTATAAAAGAGAACAAAGATTGCAGTGATTGAGTACGTCAATAATTAACTCTTGCTAGGACAGAGATGAAGAATGAAACCTCTTAATTCAATAAATTTAAAGTATAAACGTGGCGATAAACATAGTGTGATATTAACATAAATATACATTCATATATTCATATATATACATTCATATAACATATATTACACATTCTTATTCTAACTTAGACCTGAAAGTTCAGGCATTTTTTAACAAGACTGAATTAATTCCTATCTATATGTTATTTGTTGCCGGACAATTATATCATTTGAGGCGCTTCATCCACCAAGAATTAACTAAAATTTTCAACCAAAATTCAAATTTGTTAACCAATTTCAACAATTTTTATTCCGTACTCTACATCGTTGGACAAAACGACTATTTATATTAAAGTTTTTCATGAACCTTTCTCTAATGAACATTCATTAGGGAATGAAAAGAATGTAAGACAAACTTGGCCGAATTATTCTATATTTGGTTTTAGCTTTTTTGGTTTTAACTTTTTTATCTTATTTTATTATTTTTGTTTATTTTGCAGGTAACCCTTACGACTTTTACGACGCGGGACTTCAAAGCTCAAGAACATGAACATGCAGCAGAAAAATGATTTATGAAGGATAAACTGACGTATATATTTAGTAGTTTTTTTGCACATTACTATAATTGCATGATGCTATATTGCATGCAAGTATCTTCATTAAAGAATCGGAAAGGCGCAATCGGAATATCTGGTTGAATCCCGATTACAAATAATTTTGCATTTTCGACTACGTTTGCTAAAATGAAGTGAGTTTTTTTTAACATTTTAGCTGATCGGTTTTGATAAGTATCTATAAGAATGAAATATGATAAGCAGAAAAAGTATGATATGAATAAAATATTTTCTGATTTTTATAACCGAGTAACTCGCCATAAGAAATTGAAATCGAAAATTTGTTAAGTTAAGTTTTAATATTGCCGTCATGTGGGTGAACATGGCCTGCAAGTTGGTGTGAAATAGTTTGTATAAATATATAGCAGTAAAAATCCTCGTTGCTTAGTTATATATCGGACGAGAGGTTTACGGTATTATACTAACGCTTCATTTATATGCTTAAATGGCTTTAGCTTTTTGTGCATATATTCAATTTATAAAACTCTAATTTTCTGGAGGTTTCCCACCGATCGAGAATCACGGTATTAACTAAATTTTTAACAAATATAACATATTTTCGTTAAAAACTATCCACTAACGTATGTAGCTAAAGTAATATCAAGTATTTTTAATTCATGGTCGAATTTTTGTTTTGTTTTAAAGGTTGAAATTTTTTTAACACCTTTTTATAGTTGATTTTAATGGTGGTATTGTTCATTATATTTAGTGACAAATTTTATAATATTATAACGATATGTAGAAGAAGGCCGTGTTTTTATAATTACCAAGATGGGAGCAGTGAGTTGCAATTCCGATATACATATTCGCCAGCTGTGAAAATTCTGCGATGTTTACAATCGGTGACTGCCAAAAGGCACTCCTTAATCTTCAACCCTTCTACCAATACAAATCACAATATGATATGTCGTATATTATACATGGTATAAGAAATCAAATTTTTTTCATAGGAATGCAAAAAAATAAATCTGTAAAAATTTGTAGGGACGAGGTTCTGATATAATCCTGCTTCGTTTTTAGGAAGGTAAAACATTTCATGTTGACTGAAGAATGATCCCGTGGATGGAACAATACCCGGTTAAAGTGCAATATTGAATCACATCAATACATCAACATACAGTATCAAGAATAGAATGGGAACCTACAGTACGCCGATTGAGAATTTGAACATATATCGGAAATAATTTGATTAGTTTTAACCACATTGCTTGAGTTCATCTCAGAAAGTGTGTGATAAAAAATTTACCGTGATATCCATTTTCAAAAAGCTAAACTGATTCAGTATTTGAGACAGTTGACTCAGTTTTGAGTTGAGGAAACATCTTTGGAATTGTACTGGAAAACCAGATTTCGGCTTACTACTCTTCACAAGGAGGTGAAGTTAAAATATAAATTACTTTAAGGATAGGCGGAGGCCAGCTTATGATTGCATCTAGGATATATTTTATATTGTCATATTTCATTTGGGACGTACTTCTACATATATGATTACTGAACAATCACGGAAAGTTATAATATCAGAATTTTTAATAGAATATTTTGATCAAATAAATATATATAGACATATTCACGAAAATCGTCGAAGCAGCAAGCAGATTCTGTAACTAGATACAAAAATTTGTATTGAAAATTAACAAAGACCTGGGCGTCGGTTACAGGAATTAATGGCGTGACATATACGAAGTGGAGTCAGTGGATCGAGCCGTTGTGACAATTATATCACAATACGTTAAAGCATGGAATATGGAGGAATATTGTTTTATCGTGATGCTGTCATCACTATACTTGTAGTGACACGTTGCAGAAACAGTTTGATGTTACAGTTGATGTTAAAGCAACAGTTTGATGTTACGATATATATGGATATGGACGATATGGACAAACAACAACCATGAATATTTTCAAATTTTCTAAATGTAATGCTGCTCGTATTTAACATTAACAGCATTATTGTCCTTCTTTAAGGAAAATAATGATGCTCAATTGTCCTTTGATGCTTTAAATAAACGCACGTGATTGATTTATGCTGACAATAATCTTGTGTTTTATCGTCAGCATTTCGGCATTTGTTTCGAGTTGGTCTTTTGTTTGAGTTCCACCTAGGAATCCTTTCTATATATACCTGTTGTATATATATGTTATATATATATATATATATATACAACAGGTATTATATACGTATGTATATACCATATAGTAAAATTTATTAACGACATTATTTTTAATTGATTCCACAGATTAGATGAGACTTTGATTTAGACATAGTCAATAATAATTCTCTGATTGCCTAATATTTTACAATTGTCTATTGCATCAATTGAAAAGGATGATGAAGGCCCTTTTTCATAAGGAGCACACATATGGGAGCATGTGATGAAATCTCCCAATGCCCAACTTAACATGTTAATTCTTAATCCTTGCCGTGGGCAAGCTTGATAAAAAGAAAATAAGAATGAAAGTTATGCTTAAAACAAGAAATAAATAGACTCTCCACCTAAGCTATAAGACTACGAGAAAAAATCCTAAACCTTGTTACTTAAAGTTTGAGGGGCGGGCGGATTGTGTAGGTTGGGACGATCATTGGCTGCAGGTAGGTGGAGAGACGGAGTTTTTAAAAAGAAGTAAAGTCGTGTTTGATACATTGGTAATACAGTAAAGTACGGCATACAATAATACAAGTCCACTTGGCGAAAAAAGGTACGTTCTAGTGGGCGCACAATGACTTGCACTGATGGTTGCCGCTGCATACGAAAACTTTAAAATATATTCTGTTCAACTTCCTCAGGTTGCTACACTCAATAGTTTACGTATAATTGTATGTTCGCGGAGAGTGACAAAAGGCGGTAGAGGGGAATAAGTCGTGTTTGGTACATTGGATGGACTTGAGCGTGACGATTCACCTCAGGCTGATTAGGTTGGTCAATCCTGGTTATGAGCTAGGAAAGCGTGGTAGTCGGCGAGTCCTGGCAGCACAGACGCAGTCTCTTAAGAATTTCTTCACAATAATGTGAAATAGATCTCAAAAAATTCCTGCCGTTACATAGGCCTCGAAAGTTGATCCTTGGAAACTTCAAGTCTGTAAACCGGAGCTCGTTCGCAGTAGGAGTATTTAGTGACTTGAATTTATAACTCGAACTGTCATTTCTTGGAAACGTCATAATTATTTTTATTGAATTCCCAAGCTCCATGAACACCATTTTTTGTATCTTCATGTACCCTTATAAGCTAAAATAAAGTATTTTCTTCAATTTTCACTATTAATGAAATGAAAAATATTAAATAAAAAATATCAATTTTCAAGCATGAACAATATTCGTCTAATTTATGAATAATAAAAAATTCAGTAAACGACAAAAATATTTTTACGTTCTAATAGGGTCATTAAAAAATGGTCAGTTCTGTTTTAGTGCGCCAGCGGGCAACATTAGCCAGTTATGCATTAGCTTCGTTTTCCCGGCCAGCGTCGTGAGAACTACTATAGGTGTGTTGGTCGGCGCCATCATTCTTCAAACCATCAATAAACATATTGAACCTTCATATTCTTTACCTCAACCTACATAATACATATTCGCACTAATTAATTAGGAGAGAGACGGCCGTTTGTAACTTCTAAATCTGTCTCTTATACACATCTAGATGTGTATAAGAGACAGATACAATTGTCTCCATTCAAGATAACGATTTAGGGATTGGTAATAAAGTTTATGAGGGAACTGTCGGATTATGGGAGTTATTAACAAAACAAGCCCCTGAAAACTATGAAGAAAANTGGTAATACCTGCTAGATTATAAGAAAAAGGCCCATCTATTCAATAAGGAAAAGGTCCATCTGGCAAACCCTGCTAAATTAGCGTTGTTATCACATAACATCGTTATTGCAGGACCATAACTTCATCGTCGCACAAGACCCTATTCAGGCCTCGGGAGATGTCGATCTTTTCTGGACGATGATTTGGGAGAAGAACATCCACATCATCGTCAGGCTGTCTTCAGATGATTTCGTCAGTGTCGACTTTATCTAAAAATTTCACATTTGGTGTATTAAGTGGAATTATTTTATTTATTTTAATTCCATTTTAATAATTTATCGTAGGAATTATGCCGTAATATTGATCTTATCAGTAAAAAATAAACATGAAATAATATCATAAGAAAACAATCTTTGCCGTACCGTTTGACCGGAAAGAATCCAATAGTTAAGACTAGTGAATGAATTTATGGTATGACAGAATTCAGTTACCAAACACATAACTACCCTTTAAACTAACTTCATGTTCAATTCTACTAAATTAAAAAACTAAATTCTAAATTTCTTAAAATTTTTTAATTCCTCTTATTCTAATTATTTTTTAAAAATGTTGAAATTCTATTGTTCTAATTAATTTTAAAAATTATGTTAAATTATTATTGAATGAATTTCAATATCTGTGCATTTTGCAGAGCCTTGCTATTCAAATTATTTTTTAAAATTATGTTAAATTATTATTAACTTAATTTCAATATCTGTGCATTTTGCAGAGCCTTGCGTACATGCCGCTGGACAAGCGCTGGGTGCTGGAGAACTGCTTAACAAATTTTGCTAAAGACGTGCAACAAGGATAATTCCAGGCTTGAAGGGCAAGTCCTATGAAGAAAGATTGAAGATTATGAAGCTTCCAAGCCTGAGCTATCGACGTCTGCGTGGGGACCTCATTGAAGTATACAAGTATACTCATGGTCTATACAAGGTCCCCGAAGGATTACTAGAATTTGAAACAAGAACCAACACCAGGGGCCACGGCTATAAACTAAAAAAACTGCGCTGCAACTTCTCCATGCGACAAAATTTCTTCTCGCTTCGAATCACCGACATGTGGAACAGCCTCTTCGATGACAGCGTTGGCGCTCCAAGTATGAATGCGTTCAAGAATAGACTAGAAAAAGCTATGGAAAAATATATGTTCAGATTTGAAATGCCTAGCTCCTTATCGAACCCGGTGGAAGTCTAGTAGCTTCTTCAAACTATCTTCAGTCATGAAAAGATCCGGTCAAATGACACGATTTTGGATCTTTTGTGAACAAGGCACGAAAAGGAAAAGAATCGGCGACAGGCCACATCAGGCCTACGCTTCAGCGCCGAGATCACTATGTTATGCTATGTTATGTTATGTTAAATCTGCAATTAACTCAATTTACCTTGTAACTGTCTATGTCCCTATTAGCAATAAAGGGCTAACTTGTCATTCTTCAACCCATGTTTTCAAAATGATTCGTATCGTAATCGAAAAACTTGTTTTATCACAAATAATCAAGACAAATCTCGTCTCGTCTCGTTATGTCTCGTTTCAGATCTGTCTGTCTCGTCCCGGTTCATAATTTACCGGGACACAAGTTTTAAAGTCCGGGACAGAAGTCTTGTCTCGGTTCATACGTTTATTCCGGGACAAATTTTACCCTCTGTCCCGTTATTTTTTCCCAGAATTTTCTCGTCTCGTTTCGTCTGTCCCGGTTCATTTCGAGAAAATTATTTCGAGATGCAGGAGTCTAGGCCTGGCCACCCGCTGATTTCGTGTGTCATATGACCCTTATATTTTTTCCCATGAAATTCCCCAAAATAGCTCCTACTGGGCGGCTAATTATGAGATGCGGCCATTTCACATCTGAGTCATCTCTAATCCGAAAGTTGCAACCGAAATCAGGCTGTCTGCCGCGGCTAAATTTTGACAGGGTATCTCCAATTTTTGTTACAAAAACCTTAAATAATTAGCTGTCCCTATATATTGATCCGAAAATACAAAAACATTTTACAGGAATTCTAGTGTTGATGATGTTATTATAATATTAATTTTTATGATTGAAGAGCTGGAGCGAACCGCAGCGGAGGCTTCATCGCGGTGTGGAAGCTGATGGACGACGTTGACCAAAACCAGAAGCCAAATGTCTTTGCAACCGTGGAGAAACTGCGACACCAGCGCATGCTCGCCGTCCAGACTCCGGTGAGCGAAATTAACTTCGGGTGAACGTTCTTTGATTCTGGAGAAGAGTTGATATTTTGGGGATTTATGAACTGAATGTTATGGCAGAGAGCGCGCCAATTGATAATTTCAATATAAAGCATGTCCATAAAAATTATTTATCAAAGATAAAAACACAACATTTCAATCAAACAACTTGTCCCACAGAGGATGTATTACTACGTCCATAAATGCATCGACCTCTACGTTGAAAAGAAGAAAATTTTAAGTGAAGGTAAGCCAATGACGACCAATGCAAAGGATAGTTTTTTTCATTTATATCATTGTCTGTGCATTGAATATTAAAAAAATTTTCGTTTTCATGGCAAACTCTAATGATTTGTCAATAAAATTATACTCTATTATCATGCATTAAAATTTTTCTGCATTATTAAATGTGCACACTTTGTTCATTTCAGAAGTTCCGTATGACATTTGCGACTCGGTAGCTGAGTCGCCCAATATTTACGAAGAATGAGACATGGCAGGCGCCAGAATATTTTGTTGCAGTGCAACTTTGGTTTTGAAGCGTAAAATTTTAGCCTTTCTATATAGTAATCTTTTTCAAAGAAATTTTTACGTATAATGTTTAAATTATATACACAATTAATTCTTTCTTGGACAGGAAAATTTAAACTGAAAGAGAAAATTATTTAATTTCTCTGAACTTGATTATTTCTTTAAATGTACTGGAAAACAAAAAAAACACGAACCAAATTAAATAATTAATATTATAATAATAAAATATCGGGGCAAATAATCAAGTTATTGCCGCATTTTGGTAACTTCCTAGTTTTCAGAATGGCTAGTTTGAAAAATAGTTGTCCTTAAAATAATTGATGAAGGTCAACAATTACTAGAAAAGGGCAAAATTTTTAGGTTATGTTGCAATGTAACAATTTCGTGTGATAAATTGCGCTAATAATTCACTAAATAGTTGGTTATTGGTTCATACGTCTACAAACCTATTAATTAATTAGATAAGAAATACGATAAACTTGGTCGTTGCCTGCTGTTATCATATTGCTGATTATTGATTGAATTATGATTATATGTTGCCGTTATTGCATAAGACTCATTGAACTTCCATAACAGTTAATTATGAGAATGTTTATTGAGAAATAAGTATTTCTACGACATGTGTGGCAAGCAACTGCTTCATTTAATTTTATCTATTTTATTAGTCAGATTTATAATTGATTTTTCTGTGATTTCTAATTAAATTTTAGGTTGTTTGTAGAGATAGAACAGAATTTTTGCTTTGAAAACGATATTGATTGCGCACTAAAAACTTCTAATATTATGCGGGTGCAATGTATCCCTTTTCCTTAATTATGGGTTCATTATTAACATCTCTAGTGGGAAACTACTGTCTTGCTAGGGTGCCTATAAGTTGGATAAGGTTATCTCACCTGATATCTCCACTATCTCTGAGAATAATGCGAAGAGAGCTGTACCAAGAATCCTTCAGTGTCAGTGTTCGTATAGTGCATTCGGGTTCTGTATATGATAATGAGAATTTGATTGAACAGTTTTATTGGGCTTAAAAATGTGATTGTTCTTTCTTTAATTCCATTACTATGAATTTAAAGAAAATATGACCGAGACAAGAAGTTAATATTGCTCTGGCTTCGGATAGAAGGTTAAACTGCAGGCTTGAATGTTGTGCAAGTAATAGTTATAATATAGCTGTGCTAATAGTAATGTAAGTGACTGGTTATTGAAGTTGTTTAGCAATTAGTGCATAGAAATAATATCTGATTGAACGCAATGCAAACTAACCGTCAATCACGCTAAGAGTTGATTTAATTTATTGTTGATACTGTATCAGAAAGCTAGTGATGACGTAATTCATTTAAATATTTTCATCTATTTACACCTTTTACATCTATACCTGTCGGAGCGAACAAAAGCTTTTTCATTGTCCACTTGGTATTCTAGTGTTTAGGCAAGTGTCAAAGTTCATTAAAAGTAATAAATTTGTTCAGAGCATTGCTGCATTTAGGAGAATTCATTTTTCCTTCATTGTCAAAATAAAGAAAAAAATATCCTACTATGAGCAGAAGAATTTGGTAAAGATACAGGATGTATTCACTCAACACGTTTCGATGAGTCTAACAGTGCGGAATAGAAAAACAAACTCCAGATGTTATAAGATATTTAGGAGGAAAACAGACTGTTTTAAACAAATTAACTCATGGGATGATAGATCAATAAAATATCAAAATGAGCTCAGCGGATAGATTATTAGTAGATGGATATAATGCAATTGAGGAGGACATTATTTTCCCCCGGACAACGGATGACAATTTCAGCGAGAACTCGACCACTGATTCGCCGGCGACTACCTATTTCCCTTCTTCAGGTGAGATATTCATGCTCCCATCACCTCACATAAACAATCTTGAAATAATTCTAATAATCTGAAACTCTAAAATTTCTCACTTACAATTTCGTTCCAGGAATCAGAAAGTGTTTTAGTTAGTACATTTCAGTCGGTGAATATTTTCTTTAAAATTAAATGATTTCATTTATGCCCCTAAATACATAACTTTATTGTGTGATAATGCAAAATGAATCTTTTGAAAGTTTACGATTATAACCCATCAAAGTTTTGATTCCTGTCAGCCGCTGGCTTAAAAAAAAAATTAGCAGCTCTATGTCCGCTTAAGGTTCTGGTTGTCCATGCAGGGTGGGGCAGAAGCGATTGAGCAATTTTGAGGCAAAATAAAGGAGCAATGGAGGTACACAGAGAAGAAAGTTTATTTTCCTCGAGGTAGGCATAACATACCATTTAGAATACTTATGTTTTGAAAACGATATCAGGAAGATGGTGGCCGTTAGCTGCAACACACTGTTGGAGTCGCTCCCGGAAGTTTCCTCCAGCACGTTCACACAGATCCTCTCACATTTCCCGATTAAAATAATCTTCAATGTTCACCAGCAATCAGCATTGTCACACATTGCCAAAACCAAACATTCTTCAATATGCAATATCACTCAACAATCAACATACTCCAATATTCAACACAACTCAATATAATCCCACTTCATCCGTGTACGGAACGTTCTACCCATTTACCCATCCTAAACACTCCTACCTATTGCGGGAGTAGCGGTACAAACATTTTCCACGTACGGCTGAGCAAAACATATCACCTTTACCGGTATTGAACCTTCTCTCATATTCGCCAGCACCAGATTTTCACATATACTGTTAAGCATTCTCCCGCAATAATCAGTTGAATTAGTCCTCAAAATTTTCCCAAAATATTAGCAAACAACAGCCTATTGCATCTACAGAGCTTAATTCTAACCATTCCAACATATAGCGCGGATTCAACATAGTAGCTGATTCCTGTTTCCAGGTATAGAGTACCTAAAATATAGTGAAATTATTCGAGGTAATGCAAGTCAAGGCAATTTCACGTATTCCATCCATATGTACTTCGTATTAAACAACGTTGTTATTAAGAAAAACAGCTAAATTAACTGCTGTATCATGTCGCCTAAATTTTGTCATCTCGAATTTCTATCGAGTAATTTTTTTTTTTAATTTGGGGTTAAGACTTGTGGTGACAAATGCGCCCACAAGCCTGATCTCTGCCAGAAGTAATTTGTTCTCAAGGGCCTCAAAATTCTGCGTCCAACGATGACAGAAAAAAGTGAATCAAAACTTTTGTCAAAAGTCTCGTTACAATTGAGGTTCATTTTGAGGTTGCTGTTAAAAATGTACAATTAACAAAGAACAAATTAATAATGATGCTCGGCTGCAGTAACTAACCTACTGATACAACGGTACATTAAACAGCAGTAATATAATTGAATCCGTGGAATACATTTACTTACAATGAGGCCTTGAAGTCAGGTCACATATCGCATTAAACTTGTGAGCCATTCGGCGATGACAGCCTGGCTTAACCAAGAAACTCAAATAGATTCTCTAAATTCACAATCTTCCGTTCCACAAATTTATCCAGTTGGCGCGGTGGATTAAAGATGAGAACCAGAGGGATACGTGCATACGCCGATCATATAAGAACTGATGCAGAGCATATTTCTCAAGCTGAAATCTGCTATTATTGTCGAAAGAAGAACTCACATCGTACAATTGCTGTGTTCTCAAAGATGTGATGGTGAAAGATACACCATACAACTACAACTTAAAAAATAATTGAAGGAAAAACTAACAAATTTTCCTTCACAATTGAAATTTTCCAGTAAAATACGTCATACGTAATTTAAGGAAGACAACACAATAGAAAAATGAGTGTTAATTTTAACAAAGTCAAGTTACTGCAGTAGCTTGATTGATGTAAGCAGCCACCCGATCACACTTAACAGGACAATAACACAATATTTTTGCATTGCATCGATCACAATTTTTTTTGCATTGAAAGTGTTGAGCCCTAAAATGAATGAAATTCGTTTCAAGCTAACAAATTAATTATCAACTGCACTCTAAAGTCCTTCAGAGGCTCCCGAAGTTATGAACGTTCTTATGCAATCTTCAATAATTAAGCAGCCGGCCGTAGGGATGCTTGGAATTCCAACTAAAAGCATACATAGCTGTATAAGCTACACTTTGCTACTTTGAGCATAGCTATATGCTCAAAGCTGAACATTTCTATTGTTGGAGCCATCATCATTTCGTGGGCTTAAAAACCGTAATCTCCAGACAATTCGAATTAAAGGAAACACTTCTACAAGCACTCAAACTATTAATTTTCATCCTGTTCAATGTCTACAAGTGCAATGTGCAATGGTCTTTAAAATCAAATTGTTTGAAGCTCTCTGAAGGAGACAAAACTATTCAACCTTTCCAGCATTGATCACTATTTACTACGTCCTGCTTCACGGCTAGTTTTAAACTGGCGCCTTGCGAAGACGGTCGACGGCAGCACAGACGGCTTGCGGCAACGGCTATCGCTCTGCCTGGATGGGGTCGCGTGAGGTTGACCCCACATACCCTCGCATGCATTTTAACTTGAAAGCTGTAAAGCCCCGTCCACACGCTCAAACTTATCGTCAGTCTTGCATGTCATGCCAAAAGTTGACCGACAAGACAGAAGACTGACGAGCGTCCACAACTTTCATTCAGTCTTGTGAGCACTCGGCAATGGAGGAGCTAATGCAGCTCGCTGCAGTGATCGCAGTTTGTGCCAGCAAAATTAGGTTAATTAAAGCGATGCAAACGTACGCGGTGGTCCCAAAAATGGTTTTAAAAAATACCACAATGAGGGTTGATAGACAGCATCCCTACCGGCAAGAGGCCACATTGATGACTTCATTTTGGCACATTCTTTTTGATAAAGAGTTTGTTTCCTTCGTTACTAAGTCTTTGTTTACTGTAGGATCAACTTCTTTGCACTTAACAATCAATGCCTAGTAGGCCAGTGCTCTCTTGTTCTTGTCCCTGTGGCTTTTTGATTGAATTTACCACAAACAAGGGAAACTAAAATATAATTCGATAAATTCACCAAAAAAATCTTGAAATCAGTGTCGGATATCTTGGGATATGAAAAACTAGGGCTAGCGAGGAACAATGTCACAGCTCCCAACATCTATATAAAAACTGCGTTGTAACACATCCATGCGACAGACAACATTT